AGATAATGCTCCTTATATGAAAAAAAATCTTTAAAGATCATGCTTTGCTTAAAGATTATGCCTTGTGATTCATAGTTGATGGTTGGGTACCCAGTTCCTTTTGTGGGGCAAATGCCTTGGTTTTTGTGTTATTTTCAAATCTTCTAAGAGGAGTGTCGTAAGATATGGAGTTTGTTCTTATTGAGATTCACTATGCCATGAAATATATCAGAACGGTTACAGTGTCTCTTGTGACATTAAGTACCTAAATGGCTAAATAAGTGGCCAACTCTGCTTAAGTTTCTGTGTTAAGCGCTTACTTAGTGGACTTCCTTGCTTAGGTTCTTTTAATAGAGATGAGTGCTAATAGCTATTTGGACACTCCTTGTTAGCTTTCTTTTTCTAGACGACTTATAGTCTGTTTGTCCAAATATCTAGGAAACTGGCCTGGTGACTTAAGCTTCTTGAATTGAACTCCTACAAATTGATCATTGTTCCTGACATATTGTTACTAACATTAGCATTCACAAATACTGTTCACACTTAACAAGATACAAGGAAGTAGTGGCGGAGCCAAGAATTTTAGTAAGGGGGTTCAAAATATAAAGAATTAAACATACGAAGAAATCAAGGGGATTTAACATCTACTATATATACATAAAAGAATAATTTTGACCTAGTATATATAGTGTAATTTTCTGGCGAAGGATGAACCCCCTTTCGTCCCCTTGCTCTGCCTGTGCCAGGAACACGATCAAATTGTAGCAATCTGGGTTACATATATCTCCACGTTTGATATTTCTGGTCACTGTTAAGTGGGTCAAAAACCTTACTGCAAATAAATCCTTATTCATGGCATATCATCAAAGCTACAGCCTACAACGTAAGATCTACGTAGTTTGCACATTTGAAGAAGCATTGATGAGATGCCATGAATATGATCTATTTGGAGGGGTTCTGAATTCTGATGGATGTATATAGTGTTCCTTAAGTGTCTTTATATAGGTGGTTTGAAAGGCTTATCAAGAAATTACAATTAATTTGGTCTGACCCAATTGGGTATCTTATTTATATTTTGGATTGATTGAATGAAATAGCGGATTCAGTTTGTTGGCATAATGCACATGGAAATTAATGCATCTCCAATCCATTTATTTTCAAAATCTACTCCGTAGATTGCAAAATAAATTACTACTAATACCTTATTTTCTTCCATAAAAATGTTACTACTAATTGATGCATAATCGAGTAATAGAAGAGTTGAGGTATTTGGCTAAGCTTTTGGAGAAAAAAGAAAAGAGTGATTTTGAGTAGTAGCAAAAACTTCTTTTCTACTATAGGTAAGAAGTGAACTTTGTAGCTTCTCCTAAGAAGCAGAAGTGGAAAATTAATTCTTTCGCTACAAAATATGCTTAGCAAACATTTATATTTACCAAAATATTGCTCATATATTTAACCCGTTTATCTCTCAGCTATAAATACAATTATATGAGATGTATATATTTGCCATACTATCCCTCCTTAAAAAATAATTATATATTGAATGATATACTTTGATATATTTAAGTCACCTGTAATTTTATAAAATTTTCACTAATATTACTGTGATTAAATTATGTTTATATTGATTAAAAATGTTAACATACGTTTTTATTGAGATTTTAACATTTTAATGGAATAAAATTGAAAATCTTAAAGCCTTTTATACTGAACATTTAAAATTTATTTATTTATTAAAATAATACTACTAATTGTAAAGTGAATCTTTGTATGTCTTTTTTCGTAATTGGGCACTGGAAGCACTTTCTTGAAATGTTGATCAAACACAAATTGCTTATGTAATATTGATAAAGTACTTCTTGAATGGATTGACGGAACACAAACTACTGCTTGTTCAAAACACTTATCTGAAAATCTATTTTTAAAGAAGTCGCCTCTCAAAATAAGCAGATTTGGGAAGCTTGACCAAATAGACCTTTAACCTTCTATGTTTCTCCATTGACAAATGACAAGTTTGCTCAATACTATTCTGGGACTAGCTCCTGCGGTCTTCAGTACCTCACTATTCAGTATAAATCTCCATATATCTGTTTTCGACGGTAACCTCATACTTCTGCAAGCCTTTGCGTCTGAAGTACATCTAGCCCGGGAGTTTCTCAGTTTTTAGGCACTCTTAGTTGCTAGGTCTGAGATCTGGTCAAAGAATGTCTTTTCCTGTGAACAGAAAATTTCTCTTTAATTGCTTTCAAGATGCCATGTAGAACTGCTGTGACCTTATTCAAAAAGAGATGCCAGGAAAAACTGAAGAAGACCTAGATATATATATGTGTGTGTGTGTGGTAATTTTATCATAGAGCTTTACCATTACAGCAACTGCCACTTTGTTAGTACTGATGAACTATGTAGTTCCAAGCACTGCTTTTCGCCAGATAGGTTGTGTTCAGCAGTGTTGTAACTTATCTAAGAGTTTACTTATGCTGTTTGTAGGGTAATGATGTGGGCACCCAATACAGATCCGGAATTTACTTCTACACACCTGAGCAAGAGAAAGCAGCACTTGAATCCCGGGACAAACAGCAAAAGATATTGAACAGGAATATTGTTACGGAGATCTTGCCTGCTAAGAAGTTTTACAGAGCTGAGGAGTATCATCAGCAGTACCTTGCAAAGGGCGGTCGTTTTGGTTTCAGGCAGTCTACTGAGAAAGGTTGCAATGATCCCATCCGATGCTATGGTTAAGGCAGTTCTATTTGCAGGAGAAAATAAATGGATTTCCTGTTTGTTCTTGTAAGCTGCTATGGTTGTTTATAGGCTTGAAATTGTGCTTCTGAAGTAGTGTATTTAATCTACACCTTATTTATTTTACAGGAAATAGCAAACGGTATATTATTGCAGTTGCAGATTGTTTCATCTTTGCTAGTATGATTTCGAGTGAAAGCTCTAAATACAATCTTACATGACATAAACATTGTACATATTTGAAAGGCCATGGGCTGTTTCTGTGGATAGAAAAGACATTATAAAAAATAGTTCTGGAGTTGCTAAGATTTGACACACTTCTGTACTGGAGTTTGAGTTGTGACAAAAACTTAGATAGTAACAACTCTTGAAACCTGGGGAGATGAGAAGCAGAGTAACAGAAAGCAGACCAAGAGTACAACTCTAGCAACAACAATTGCCTAAACCACACATTGGAATACACGCCTTATTTAATCCATAAATCCCCTAGTCCCTTCCGCGCACAGTAAATTTGCCCCTTCTTAGCCGGGGTCCCAAACGTAATTTGCTAACTCACCAAATGTGTCCTTCATTGGGGCCACATTCATTAGGATCCCATCAATAAGAACCTCGTTCTCAAGGTTCGAGTAGAGCAACACTAAGATGTTAGTATTGTCCTGTTCATCTTTGCATGTGTTAACAACCCAGATGAATTCTTGGCTGGAAGCTTCAATTCCAAAGTAAGTTCTCCGTTCATTTGATTTATTATCCAATCAAATAAGTTTACGTTCATTGCATCCCCTGCAACATTGCCTGCTCCATATTTAATTCTCGGCAACCTTATCCTTACCAACTTGAGTATTGCATTTTGATAAAACTATCGCAACAGGGGGATATGCATAAATACTCGATTTTTGGGGCTTTTGTTTAAATTGTACTCTAAGTTTAAAATTCTCTGCAATTGTACTGTTTAACAATTTAAGACACAACTTCAGACGTACGTGACTGAAGTAGCACTATCCACGTCTAAAGTTACAAATTTTGTCTGAAGTTGGGGACTTCAGAAGAAAACATCTTAAGTACATCAAAAAATTAGTGCACTTCAGACGCAAACGTCTTAAGAGCATCTTAATTGAAATTTTTACAATTAAGACGAAAACGTCTTAAATATTTTCGTCTGAAGTGCAGAAACAGAAATTTGTTCTTCGAATTTCAACAATCCAACACACGATTCAACGCCCAAATCTACTCCAGATAAGCTCGAATTTGAAACATAAGTTCCAAATATCATAAAGAACAAACTCAAATCGTCAATTTGCCAAAACAACAAATGTAACAAACCCATTTTGCAACTAAGAAGAAGAAGAAGAAACCCTAAGCAGTAGCAAGGAAAAGAGTGTTGTAGCAACCCACTATAGTAAAACATCATAAATCACCTTAAAACCTACTCACAAATAACATATAAACCCGTCGTAACCTCTATTGTCACAGCAACTAAGAAGGAGGAGGAAAAGCTGAGAAGAAGCATGTTGTTTGAAGTTACCTGTACTTTGGGTAGCTGTTAACCTTTTTTAAAAAGTGGGTACATGTAAGATGGGAGGCGACCAAATGGGGCGCCCTGTGAAATTTTTATATGGTAACAACTTCACAAGGCCATTTTGTATGCCTTCAATATATGAAGTTTTCTGCTTCAACATAGCACCAGCACAAGGAACTAGTTTAGGAATCTTGGTGATAATCCTAACAACCGACATTGCATCTTGTAGGTTTCCTTCTACTTCATTCAGTAGATCATTACTGGCACCCCTTAGGAGTACTGCAAATGCTATTGGATCCTCTCAATCAACAATGAAAGTGAGAACACAACCCCAGTTTTCTCCAACAAGCAGAGCAACATTGTTGCACAAAAGCACTTCAATTTTTGGTCAAACAACTCAAATCTCAAAAAAGGGTGCCTTTTGACTTTCCGAAGTTTGGCCCAACATGGCATTAAACCACTATAGCACAATTGATAATTGCAGATAAAAGGAGTGGTAAATCTCCTAAACAGTAGTGACAAGCCCAAAAATAAAAATTAAGACATTGAAATGGCAACACATTATTAATCCTTGAAAGATCAAGAATAGTATCCTAACAGTGCCGGCAGTGGCGGAGCTACAATACCGAATGCGGGTTCGACCGAACCCAGTAACTTTTGTCATACTTTATATTTTTCTTAAAAAATTCATTGAATATGTATAAATATATAATTTAGAACCCAGTAACTTAAAAAGATTGCGAAGCCGAACCCATAAACTTCAAATTCTGGCTCCGTCTCTGAGTGCCAGTATTTCTTGACCAGGACATTCATTAATAAAAATAGAATAATTGTGCCTCAACCCCAAACAAATTTGAGATCAGCTATAGCTATATGAATTTACTGTTAGCCACCAAAAATTTTCTCTATATCTCGCACTTAACCTACAAGAAATAAGATGATTCACCTTAGTTCAACTACTTCTACGCTGCCTTCAACCTTCCGCAATCCTTCTCCTTTATTTGAACTTGAGATTGGTTACGCCTATTGAAAATAAGTTTGGTTGATCAGAACATTTATACACCAAAAAAGGGAAAAAAGAATTACAGGAACTAAAAGAAGTTGTAAACAAATCAGTTTAATAATCAACACCAAGAACAGTCTCAACGTCAGAGGCAAGAGCTAAGTTGAAATCCATGAAAGCCGGACTAGATGAAGCTCATGCTATAAGTGCACTAAAAATTGTAATATTCAAAGTTCAGTTTCCTTAAACATCCATGTGATATGCTGGTATTGGTCACACTGTTTTGAATCGAAGAGATTGTTCAGCAAAAGGCAGTGAATAGCAGCATATTTCACCTTACAGCTGAAATACAACAATAAAATTCACATTTCTACGTGGAAAAAAGAAATCAGGAAACTTAGTCCACCATTTGCATCAGATAACTAACTAAAGCAAGCATCTTGCATGGAAAATATGCTACGTGAATTGGAGCAACTTCAATTTGCAACAACAACAACAACAACAAAAAACCCAGTGCAATCCCAACTTCATTTTGCATTCCTTCTAAAGGAATCAGAAGGTGGGCATGTTCTTTCATTCAATAAGAAGTTAAAGCCCATCCACTGATCAGTAGTTTGGAATATCAAGCTGTAGATATCTACTTGGACTCGGGTGGAGTGTCCAATACGAGTGTGAATCTAAAGGTCAGATCCTTCATGATCTAAATTTTAAGATTCGTGGTTACAGATCCAGGTGGAAGGATTAAGCTAAAATAATTCAAATATCTAAAAATAGTTATAAAGTATGCCTTAATTATGAGATATTATGTGGAAGACTTACACGGTGCCTATATCCGAGAAGGAGATAAAAGGAAAATGATCGACATAAAAATTTCGAAAATGATCGACATAAAAATTTCTACATACAAGGTATTCCATTTTCTTCAGTTTCACCCTACCTTTTGTGTTGATTTTAGATATCATTGTATCTGTCCCGATTGTCTATGTAATTTGGCCAAAGTACCCAAAATCGATTGACCAGATCAGGTATGGATCCCTCACCCACACCCATCAGTATACATGACAGGAACTAAAGAGAATCAGCAAAACACATAAATTAAACAATCATTTCGTGTTAACTCAATGAAGAATTTTACCTGTGAGTTGCAATGGCAAAAGAATGTAATGGAGCAATCGGTATAAGTTCACTACTTGATAGAAAAATAGACATTTGCAGTTCAGATAAATGTTTCCTTTAAGGATGGTCAAGGGTGGTAAGCCTTAATTCAGCAAGTCTAAAAGTAAGACGATGAATAAGTGTTAATTCCGTCATGTGGTTATACAACCATCTAAGTTATTCTACTATAGCATTCAAGACCAAACAAAAGCTATAGAAGATCGGAAATTAAGCATAATGCAGGTTACAAGATATCAACGTTCACATAGTAGATGTAAATGGAATAGCAAGGAATCGAAAAGTTGACATGACATGGAAGTGCACACAAATATAAAATCGTACTTGAAATATCAAAGTACAAACGAATAGACTTACACGAGTACCTCTTTAATACATTCTACCCGAGCACTTACGAGAACCACATTTACAATTCTTTTTCTTCAGATTGCCATTTGCATCATAAACCTGATCAATCTGGTAGTTATAGTCATAAGTAAGCTCCTCTATTGGAGCAATACTCTTGGAAGCGAAAAACATTATGTGAGGTACTCTCCTATCACCGTGGTCATACATGACATTTTGAGCATAAAGGTTTGGTGAGCAGCTATGGTTGATAAATCTTCCAACGTTCCCATATCTTGCTGCATCAAGGGTAAAGCCATCTTCATCCTTCCTCTGAAAAGAATTTGACTCAACTTCGAACTTTTTATTCCTTTTGGGGGTTTCTTCATCATAGTTGCCAACATCAAACAAGTACTCATCATGATCTATTCTTTTTTCGGCTTCTTTTTCATCAAGTAACTCCCCAACATATTCACAAATAAAACTTCCAGATGATACATAGTCCCTCGACCTCAAGCCCCATCCTCTTGATTCGGTCTTGAAAACCTCCAAGTGGTACCGTGGACCATGTTGGCTAACTCTATTTTTGCAAGAAGGAGGGCATTTGCAAGATGGACCACACTCGTAAACAAGATGCTTTGCTCTAATAATAGAGCCTCTTGTGTTGAATTGAATCTCACCTCCGTTCCTAGAAGCACAAGAGCATTGCTCAGAATCCGAGCATCCACTTGTGCAACTGCAACCTTGAGGCATAGAGATGTAATACCAATCTGGATACTGCATTTTGGTAATGTAAGTGAATGGTGGGGGTCTCTCATCATCGATTGCATTGACAGCAGGGATCGGTATCTTCTCCTTTCCTTGCGAGATATCATAGTCCACAACAATCTCCCGCTGCACAAACTGCATAACTGATTTTGTTGCCTTATTAACATTTTGACGTAAGTGATTTACCTTGCCTAAATTTGCTGGCTGTGACACTAGTTCACAAGTTTTGATTGGGCAGAATTTCTTTTCAGTTCAAACTTGAAAATAAATTTTCCAGTTGGACCTCTTTCTTGCGAACACTTTGTCACAGTGTAAAGCCCTTCGTAAATGTATCTTATATCACTCTTTTGATCCTTTACTCTTTGTCGACTACCAATAACCCTCACCGGATATCCCAAGTCCATGGAGTTCTTCAAGGCAAGATTACCCCCTTCAAGCTTTTGATCTTCTACTTTCGAAGCAGAAACTTTTGGATTTCCACCTTGACCTACATAAATGAATGTTTGAGAAGATATGGCCTCATTATCGTACCGACCAGAATCAACAACAGCAGTTGCAACATCTTTTCCGTTAATATTCACATAATCGATACCCTTAATATAGTGGCGATGTAGTCCTATCACAACAAGTTCTGCCCTAAACCGGAATTGATCCCCAATTTCAACTCCGGGAACATGTCCAAAGGTCCACTCACAATTCACCCACTTATTCTGTTTCTTCAAACTCACTGCTGCCTCTATAATGATATTTCTTTTAGGCTGTCCTTCACGTTTCTCTGCTTTATCTTCTCGCAAAAGTTTAGAGTATAGGTCATCAAAAAGTTTCAGGGCCTCTCTAACTTCGTTTGCAGGCTTGCCATTCAAAATATTTGGCACAAAAACTCTTAAAGGCTTGGCTGACTCAATCACATTCAGGGACTCTCTAACTTCGTTTGCAGGCTTGTCATTCAAAGTATTTGGCACAAAAACTCTTAAAGGCTTGGCTGACTCAATCACATTCATAGCAACTCCAGAACTACTTTTGATCTCAGCATCAGCAGGGCATTGAGTACCATGTCCATTCGTTTGAGGAATACGCATGCCAGAAATTTCAGTATAATTCCATGTGTCCTCAACTTTTACACTCTTAGAAGTGGATGGAAATTCCGGGTAGATCTCTGCATCAGTGTAGCACTGAATTCTGCTTCCTTTCGTTTGACCAACAAACAGACCACAATTTTCAGGAAACTTACGGGTTGTATCAACTTTTAGGCGCTTAAATGTGGATGGAGATCTAGGATACTCATTGCCGACGCTCTGATGTAATCCCTCCCCAAACATCTTTGAGGGACTTGTTTCCGCTAACACAGACATCTACAAAGCACGTAGAACTTAGAGCTCGTTTGGGTTAACTAATGATAAATAACTGATAAGTATTAAGTGCCGATAAGCATAAAGTGCTTATAAGCACGTTTAAGTAAAATAAACAGTTATGTGTTTGGGTAGAAATGCGAAAACTAATAATAAACAGTTGATGTGTTTGGCACAAAAAATTCTGATAAGCTATTCTTTTGGTAAAATGTCTAAAAAACCAAGAATAAATTTCAAAGCATCTTTGTAAGTAAAGAATAAAATAATAAAAATCTTAGTCAAACCAAAAGTGTTTATAAGCTAAAAAATTATAAGTTGGGAGTGACCAACTTATGACTATTGGAAGACCTTGGCTTATAAGTTTTTGTATGTTTACTAAATGTGTAAATAAGCCAAAAGGCGCTTTTAAGTCAGCTGACCTCGACTATTCCATTGGGTACCTGCTACCTCCATTAACATCGGTATTGATTAACTCCGTCCACCAAGGCTTGGACAAATGAGAAGAAATGACCTAATATTTTTTGCCTCCACTTGGATTAGAATCTGAGACATCATGGTTTACCTCCCATTGACCACTAGGACGGTGATGCTTTGACCAGTATAGGGGTGGAAAACGGGCAGGTCAGGTTGGATATGGGCGGGTCGAGAACGGGTAATACAAAACGGATAAGTTATCCGACCCCCGCATATTAAATACAGATAAAAAACGGGTTAACCAACATATAATATGGATATCCATATTATCCATGACTTCTTGAATATAATCACTTTTGGGAGAATTCCTAATCTCCTAAACTTCAGGATCCTCCAATTTGAGGCTTTACAAATATAAAAGTTAAACCCATTAGATTCTTATCTATATTTGACCCGTGTTTTAAAAGTTCATTATCCAACCCATTTCTTAATGGATAATATGAGTAGATAATTGTTTTCTTTTAACCATCTTGCCACCACTAGACCAGTCTATAAGCTTACCCAAACACAGAGGCGGGTTCAACTGAACCCATAACTTTCGATGCGGAGTAAAAGTTAGTATGTAAAAATTCATTAAAATTGCAAAAATAATAGATATGAACCCATAACTTTAAAAATATAATGGGTTCAATGTTAAAAACATTAAAATTGAACCCATAGGGTGTTTGGGCAGAGGCGGATCCAAAGTATATTGCAGGAAATCGAAGAACACGATTATTAACAACTAACAAGACATGGCATTATTAATGTTAAACATCGACCAACAAGATGTTACAGCAAAAGAAAAATAGCAAAATTCTTGAAGACAAAGAAGATAATTACACGAACAGCACATTACAAGCAACGAGGTAGAGTAACGAAATTCAAATTAGGGCTAAAGGGTATTGAAAGTGAAACCTGAATCCAGAACAGAATTTAGAAGTCCTTGAAAATGGCAGTTGAAAACTTGGATTTGGGAGGGAAACGGTCTTTTAGTAATAAATGCTAAAAAAGAGGTGAAATAGAAGCATCTACTAGAAAATTGGTTATAGTTAGCTGATTGACACAAAATACTCTTAATCAAACTATAAATTGGTTAAACTAAGCTTTTTCTGCAGAAAATAGTGTAGGATAATCGAGTAATCGACAAGTTAACAATTTTTCCTAAGGGAAAGAACAAAAAGCAGTTTGGGGTCGTCTGGTTGGTGGGATAATAATAATTTCGGAATTAGATGTGAGTTTATTTTATTCCGTATTTGGTTGAATTTTTAAATTTGAATTAACAATTTCGGGATTAATCTATATCACTAATTCTAGTATTATTCTATCTCACATTGAGGGTGGCATAAAAATCCAAGACTACTTATTTTGGAATAAAACACTACAATGACAAAAATGTCATTCTCCAAGACTCTTCCCCAAAGTTTATATCTTTTTATCTAGTATAGACCAAATACATATTTTATATTGGTATATTCTATTTTTAGTCCGATGATCCAAATATCTACCAATAAAAATATATTCACTAAATAATCTCGTCTCTATTTAATTCTCATATTATAATCTCATCATTGAACACACACTCTCTCTCCTTCTCTCTCTCATCTCAAATTGTAACGTCTCTTTCTCTTACAAACTTCCCAACCGCCGACGGCTTTATCACCGAAAAACCAGGTAAGTCCGCTCCCTCATCTTTCTCTCTCTCTCCCCCTGGTCCTCGTTGTTTTCTTCTGCTCTCCCGTTTCTATCTCTTCCCGACTCTCTCGCTCCTCCCTTTCCCTATCTCTCCTTATATTCCCTTATTCTTCCCAACTTATTTCATCTTCTTTCTCTCCCTAAACCAGCGCCTGTCATAGCAGCAGAGGCCACCCATTCTTTTTTCTCCCTTTTTTTTCTTGTGACCAACTGTATCGCCGAAAACCTACCGAAAACTGACCCAGATATGAGGTTGCGTACCATCTACCCCTCTCCTTCCTTTCCTGTTTTTTCCCTTTTCGGCCCCTCTTTTTGTTTTACAGGTACCTACTTTGCCAGCATCACTGGAATAGAGTGTGAGATGTACGCACCGGCGAGAAGTCAGATTAGGTTGGAGGCAGCAACTTCGCGTGGAGCACGTGAACTGCTGGAAATTGACTAAGGTTATTGCTGCAGCGCCCCATTTGGCATTCACGACAATCCATCCAGGTTCTACATTGTCGGGAATTGGTGCCTCATTTCATCGATCAATATCTCTATCTTCCATGTGCTAAATTGATAATTTGCGATAGTTATAGCATAATTCTTGATTGCCTACCCGTACTAGTTCTCTTGCTAGTAATTGGTTAGTGCTTTCTAGTTCGAGCCCCGTGCTAATAATTGCATGATTGTCTTTAATTTCGACTACTGTTTTCAGTTCGGTTGGCCTGCTTTTGTCTTTACGTAGTTTATCTCTTGCTTGTCTGTTTTGCTTATTTGTATTCCATAAGTAGTGAATAGAGTTTAAGTGTTAGACCTTATTCTTTTAATTTAATAGTACTAGCTTAGTTTGCCTTGGATTATAGAGGCTGAGGTGAGTGATGGTAGAATACGGTCATGTCCTCGGGTTGGGGAAGTGGGGCGGGGGGCGGGAGGCAAGGGAACTTCTAGACTGAGAGTTGGGTCCTGGAATATTGGTACTTTGACGGGAAATTCGATAGAGTTAGTGAGCCGTGGTACATAGGAGGCGAGAGGGGTAAGAACGAGGTAGGTATTTTGGTTGATTGAGAAATTAAGGATCTAGTGGTAAAAGTTAGGAGAGTGAATGACAGGCTAATGGCTATTAAGCTGGTTGTTGGAAGGTCTACTTTAAGCGTAGTTAGCGCTTACGCGCCTCAAGTGAGTTTGGGCGAGGTGGTAAAGAGGCATTTCTAGGAAGAGTTTAACGGGTTAGTATGTGGCATCCCGCTCACCTATAAGCTTATCATAGAAGGAGATTTCAATGGCTACATCGGGATGACCTCTGGGGCTATGACGGTGTGCAAGTGGCTTCAATTTTGGAGATAAAACGAAGGAGGAACTTCTTTGTTAAATTGTGCTAAAATCTTAGATTTGGTGATTACTAACTCGTGTTTCCCGACGAGGAAGGAACACTTGGTCACTTTTCAGAGTACGTTGGTCAAGACCCAAATTGATTATCTACTCCTCCGAAAGTGCGATAGAGGACTATGCAAGGGTGCAAGGTTATCCCGAGTGAGAAACTCACGACTCATCATAGGCGATTGGTGATGGACTTAGAGATCGTGAGGAAGAGGAACATGAGGGCTGAGTATGGTCAACATAGGATAAGGTACGGTTCCTTTTGACTAGTGATAAAGCTCAAGAGTTGGGGGAGAAGTTGCTGGTTATAGGGGCCTGAAGGAGCAGTTGGGACTCGAGTTGTATGTCGACCACGACAACGAATGTATTAGAGTGGCTGCGAGAGAGGTGTTGGGGGTCTCGAAGGTTTCTCTGGCGGTCACAATGGGTATTGGTAGTGTGAGGAGGTACAGGAAAAAGTGAAAGCTAAGAAATCGACGTATGTGAAGCTAGTAGAGAGCATTGACGAGGAGAAGATGACGAACATGGAAGGGTATATGAAGGCTAAGAAGGAGGCGAAGTTAGCAGTCACTACGGCTAAATATGTGGAGTTTGGACGTTTGAATGAAAAACTTGGGCTAAAGGCGGGAACAAGAAGTTGTACAGGCTAAGCCAAGGTGAGAGAAAGGAAGGCACGTGATCTAGATCAAGTTAAGTGCATCAAAGATGAGGAAAACAAATTGTTAATGGAAAAGGTTCAGATTAGGCGAAGATGGCAGACGTACTCCTATAAATTCTTGAATGAAGAGGGTGAAAGGAACATTGTAGTGGGTGATTTGGAACACTCCGAGATTCATCAAGATTTTGGGTATTGTAGGCGCATTAGAGTGGAGGAGGTCATGGGGGATATGCGTAAGATGCATAAGGGTAGAGCGACCGAGCTAGACAAAATCCCTATAGAATTTTGGAAGAATGCGGGTAGGGCAGGTTTGGAGTGGCTAACTAGGTTTTTATCATCATTTTTAGGATGAAGAAGATGTCCGAAGAATGGAGGTGGAGTACGATGATTCCATTGTACAAGAACAAGAGTGATATCTAAATTTATAATAATTATCGGGGTATCAAACTGCTAAGTCAAATAATAAAAGTGTAGGAGAGGGTGGTAGAAGTGAGGGTGTGGAGGAGCGCGTCTATTTTTGAGAATCAGTTCGGTTTTATGCCGGGTCGTTCGACTACGGAAGCTATTCACCTTGTGAAGAGATTGGTGGAGCAGTATAGGGGAACAAAGAAGGACTTGAATATGATGTTCATTGACTTAGAAAAAGCTTATGATAAAATCCCAAGAGAGGTGCTATGGAGATGCTTGGAGGCTAAAGAGATCCCGATAGCCTACATTAGGGTGACTAAGAAAATGTATGATGATGCTAAGACCCGGACGAGGACAGTGGGAGAACACTCGAAACGCTTTTTATTTGTGATGAGGTAGCACCAGGGATCAACTCTTAGCCTGTTTTATTTTCCTTGGTGATGGACGCACTGATGCGACACATTTAAGGAGAGGTTCCATGCTATATGCTATTTGCTAATGACCTAGTTCTAATTGATGAGATGCAGGGTGGTATTAACGAGAGGCTAGAGGTTTGGAAGTAGACCCTAGAGTCTAAAGGTTTCAAGTTGAGAAGGACCAAGACAAAATACTTGGAGTGCTAGTTCAACGATGTAAACCTAAAAGAGGACATAGAGGTGAGGTTTGATACACAAGTCATTCCCAAGAGAGGAAGTTTTAGGTACCTTAGGTCAGTAATATAAGGAAATAGGGAGATTGATGAGGATGTTACACATCATATCGGAGTAGGATGGATGAAATAAAGACTCGCTTCCCGTGTCCTGTGTGGTAAGAATGTGCCACTTAAACTTAAAGGTAAGTTCTATAAAATGATGGTTAGACCGACTATATTGTATGGGGCAGCGTGTTAGCCAGTCAAGAGCTCTCATATCCAAAAGATAAAAGTAGTTGAAATGAGAATATTGAGATGGATGTGCGGGCATACCAGCTTTGATAAGATTAGGAATGAAGTTACTCGAAAAAAGGTGGGAGTGGCCCCCACGGAGGATAATTTGCAAGAGGTGAGGCTGAGATGGTTCGGGCATGTGAAGAAGAGAAGCACTGATGGCCCAGTTCGGTGGCCATAGAGGGTATGAGGAGAGGTAGAGGTAGACCAAAAAAGTATTGGGAGAGGTGATTAGGCAAGGCATGGCGCAACTGGAGATTACCGAGGACATGTCCCTTGATAGAAGGTTGTGGAGGTCGAGAATTATTGTAAAAGGCTAGTAGGTAGTCCAGTATTTTGCTCTTTCTTTCTCAAACCGGTAGCATTAGTATTGATATGGT